CCCCCCACCCCCACTCCAAGTGAATAATCATACCGTGTTGCAAAGGGCGTCAAATCTTTGGGGAGGGGGGGGTGTGTTTTTTTTCTCTAGATGATCTTTTCCTCCGTCTCTTTGCCTTTTGGCATCACCGTCCATCTGTCATCCTTTTATGCGTGGGTGCGAGTGGTTGTGTTAATTCCCTGTCTTCTTTTCTCTCCTTATCATGTGCTATGTCTTTCTTTTTTTTTTCTTTTGCTCACCTTCTATCTATCTGATTGTCTTTCTGTCTGACTGGGGTTTTTTCTACCTGCAAACAGGGTATCGAAAAAAGAGGACCCTCTTAAAGGACAAAAGTTCGGTCATCAGAGCACTAATTTTAACTATACTTTAAAGAAATAAAATTCAACCAAGGTGACAGCAAGTTCATAAATATGAAGAAAATCTATAGCGCCTTCGAGAAATATCAATTTTTTAAAATGACAACCAAAATTGGGTAAAACGCAAATGTTCACTACCTAAAAACGTACAGCTACAGGGGCGTGATCAACCCGTTCTGGTTTCAGAAAAAGGACGGTAAAATCACGACAGTCACATCAATTCAACTGACGTTCTTTTCATTGCACCCCCCCCCCTCCTTTGTTATGCCAAAGATTTAAATACGGATCACACCAGCAAATACATTCTGAACTGTTGCGCAGTACTTTATGACGACCTTACTCATACACTTCCAAACTTCCCCATGCTTATAGATGTCTCTGATCATTGTTATTATTCTTAATAATTCGGTCAAGTCGTTCCTGTCCGGTGCCGACCGACCAGAGATAACGACTTGATTGACAGTCTGTATCGATTATATCGGAACAACGACGAGTAATCGCCTTAGCTTCCGGCAGCCTCTTACCATGGGAAGTCAAGCTGTTCCAGACTCCTCATAGACAACCAGTAGCTCCTGGCCTGGTCTACTGTTCATTATCTTTGTGCTTTCCCCCCCTTTCCTTCACACAGACATCCACCCTCAGCCCTCGCTATGAGCCCTTCGCGGTCCCACACTCGTCGCCTGTCGTCCTTTAGTTTAGTGTTAGTGAGAGTTTTACGGTACTTGCAGCACAAATATGACATATAAGTGCTGGAGAGATTAATGCACAAAGAAAAAGAGGAGGTGGGATATAAATGACGTTATATATTTCATCGGAAAAAAGAGGCAAACCATACCAGAGCACCCGCCAACCACACACTGCTGTGCTTTAGCTTTTACTGCTCGCGGAAACAATAACCAGGGCACTCCAATGTTTTTCTCTTTTATTTCTAGTGTGGGTTTTCCATGCACATACTCAATCCTTCTGAAGAAAGTTTTCTACTCAGCCGACATTGACGTTTCGCACAATTTTCTGCCACCACAGTAAAGAAATCCTTGCTTCTTTGATGCGAATGCTCCATTTTAGTTCGCAATCGAGACACAACTTTTCTCTCTCTCTCTCTCTCTCTCTCTCTCTCTCTCTCTCTCTCTCTCTCTCTCTCTCTCTTTCTTATAGGTTCCCGCTTATGGTTGGTGTTTCATTAGCGTTTGGAGAATTCTCCTGCAATCCTTGGATTCGCCTGGAGCAACTCGTTATTCTTAATAACATATCGTTCCTGAAAAACAGATTAAAAAAATATGTTATATCCTGCTGTAAAAGGTTTGGTATTGGGGACTTCCTTCTTCTGCGTTATTTTATTCATTTTATTTTGTTGCTTTGTTGTTTGTTTGAGGTTTTGTACCTTTTATTTGAAACTGTGGTTGTCTGCTTCTACTTTTTGAATTTGTTCCTTTCAAAAGTAGCATATAACTGTGTGTGTTGACCTTTTTGTTTTAACCAATTGGTTTGACATTCAACACAAATTATCCATAGGGATTAAAACGAGTCTCACAACGGCTTGCTGTTACTCACGGGTGGTTGGAGTGTGGTGCTAGTATATTCTTCTGCTTTTCTTTCCGTCTACTGTTTCTTTATGTCTGTTTTTCTTGTCCCAAGCACTAAATGATTCACGGTGTACTTGTGTCTCTCTGTACTCAAACTCCGAAACTTGTTTACCCTGTTAAGGTCCGCAGCTTGCCATAAATGTCTAACGCTTCTTTCGCCCTCTACAGATGAGAAAAACAAAAACAACGGCCCCATTCTGGCCGACCAAGAGCAGGAGCAGACGACAGGATGATGACAGTCTTGTCAACGACAGCGATGGAGAGGCCAGGGGATTACGTCACTGGCACTAACACGAGACTCTTACGTCACACTAACACGGCACAATATTTGGCCCTACCGACGAGGCGGCTAGCACAGGGTCGGACTCCAGGTTATCAAGTGGACACAGAAGAACCACGACCGAGGTCCGACTTCCGACGTGAACGGAGAGCTAGAGGATAACCGAAACACATCAGATTTACAACTGACACGTCTTTGATCATATTACCGTGTTCCGGTTGGTTGGTATCAAACACTTGCCTTGTTCTCCCTGCTGAATTATATATATTATTATATTATATAAAATAGGGTGGGTTTTTTTTTTCAGAGTAGCCGATGTACCGTTATCATTACAAGTAGGTCCAAATTTTCTGCCAAACAAGATATAGGCCAGATTGTTTAACACTGTTGTTGGGTTTTTTTTCACATTTGAAACGCTCATCTTCTTCGTCCTTCTCTGAAGCAATCTATGATCTTCTTTCGACTCGTAGATTGCTTGTTCCAAACTCCAAGGACAGCACCCGATTCACGATCGTTGTTTATGTCACTGGAGCGAAGCGATATTCCAAGGGACATTGAGAAGGTCGAGAGATAATAAAATATAACAGAGACGAAATCCCTTTCTATGTGCTGGCGTATCTATTAAGACATTCTCCTGCACCCTAACTCTCTTCACCTATGAACGCATGTTTTAGGTTCCGGGATGTGTTTACTTTCTGGAGGGAAGTACTTTGGATACGATTTCCAGAAAATTATCGCTAAGTTCATGCTTTAAATTGTCGTGCTTGTGAATCCTTTTTGAGCATAAGACAAATGAAACTGCAGTAAAAATAAAATCGTTCTTTTCAAACCAAGTTTGAAAGCGAACCACTCCGATCCTGTTTTTTTTAAATTATTGTAACCGTCCTGTGCGATTGTGTTGGCTAAGAAAGCAAGGCTTGAAAGCTTCTCTGTTTTGTCATATTATAGTTTGATTGAAGGTGTAATATTAAACTCTTGGTCACTGCTATTGTTAATTCATTAGCTCCGTAAACGTTTGGTCGAACATTCATTTATTAGAGGTAACGAAGACAGGGAGAATGTATTGCATTTGTCGTCATGCCCTTTAAACGTAATACATGTAGTACATAATGATGACAATGTTATTTGTTCTTGTATAATTAATTTAGCATGCTTTTAAAGAAGCACGTTTAAAGGGTAAAACTTGCTTTTTACGTTCTCGTGTTATTATCTGTATCAATACATTGATTCAATGGATATAATGGGCTTTCTACCATGTTACCTTTTTTTTTCATTTGTTGGTAAAGAGAGAATCGGATAATATTCATCTTTGAAGTGATGTAACATTTCATAACACACTGACTATTATTGGCATATTGTATAACAGTTTACTTAACCTTCGTTTGTCAAACGTGGACAATGCTATTATGTAGTTCACATTCCTTTGTTGCCTTAAGCAGCAAGAAGACTATTTAGTGGTTTGATTGACTCTCATACTTAAGCATTATCCAGTCTCTTAACCCTGCTTTCTGCGCTCTCGAGGTCAGATGGATATTATCTCTTCTGGGCAACATTTCCTTCTAGAATGACGAATGTCTATAAGGATAGTCTCACATCTCCTCTAGTACATGTATAAACATGAAGCACTTTCTTTTCTTAGCACATTATTTTTTATCCTCGAAATGTCTTTCTAACAGAAAGTAGTGAGGTGTTCATATTTACTCTCTTTGCCTTTGTCATGAATGTTCACGAAGAGTGGCCAATTTTTTTCACTGTTTTTATTACTCAATTTAAAGAAGGAATCTTAAGGGTTTCCCTTTGTCTTAGGTAATCAGGGGTAACTATAAAAGTGTGCATTGTACATACTGCCATTTGTTATATTTTATCTGAAAAAAAACAAAACTGCCGGATTTTGATGCTTATTGTTATATATTAATTGCATATGCTTTTAACGTTTACAATATCAAATCGTTATGGAGGGTTGTTGTGTTTGAACCCATGTGGCCTGCAATACATTTGCACATTTTATCGATGAACAGCTAGGCTTTAATGCCATAATTATTTCGTTTTACTCAACTGCACTGAACTCTATCAACTACATTGACATCTTATGTGCGAGCAGCAAGGTGGGTAGTTGTGAGTGATACGGGTTCTTTGTGCAGCTCCGTTCTCCCATTGTTACATACCATGATGTAAAAAATAACATTATGGAAGGACCTCTTAATCAGTTTCTAAAAGTATGTTTTAAGCAATAACAGTTATGTATTAGAATGAATTATTTGAATTTGTTATTGTCATATGAAGACGTACATATTATCTATTATTTCAAGCTGAATTTTCGATAGTTTGTGGAAAGAGATACGTTCATCTTTTGCAAAATTATTCTACTTTCTTGAGAAAGTCCTAGAATTGTTTTGGTTTGGATTGTTCTCATTGGGGTTTTTGACACCAAAACTTACATTCTGTGTGACTTTTGTGAAATCACATTTTTGTGTAAAATTTAGAATTGTACTAAAGCAATGCCAATTGGGACAAGAGAACACGACACTTTGATACAACCGCAACATTTGGTGTATACTCAGAATAAAGACTATTCTAATATATTATGTTTATTGGATCCGTTGTGAAGACTTAACTTTTCTATGTCACTGTAATAATTGTATTTTTTTAGCTGTTTTTTTTTCCATGAAGAACGCCGAGAGCTTTAGTGCGATTATTGTTTTGAAGTAGCGTAAGTCTATATTTTATTATTGTTGTGTATGAGCTTCACACGACAATGTCAGTGAATGGATGCGACTGTGTGCCGACTTTCGTTCTGTGGGTTGTGGGTACCGTTTTACACGAATCCCGGCGTGCATGTCTTAGTGTATAAATGCGCGAGGGCGCATGCTCTCGTTAGCTTTATATGATAACGAGACGGTCTAATGAGTACTATTGATGTTTATTTCTTTTGTCAAGTTTTGATGTTTTCTTTTTGCAAATCATCTCCTACAATTTTTTTTCTTTCGGTTTGCTTTAATATGACGTTGTTTGTTTTTTTTCTTTTATCCCGATCTATTAGATTTCAATGCTCTGCTCTTCGTATGCCTTTGTTCTCTTGTGTGCTACTTAAAAAATATGAGCACCGCGTGGAAGTAAAAAAATCCAATGGGTTTCTGTTTATGGTCTTTTCAAATCTTCTGATCGGCTATGAGTATTGGCCAACATAATATATTAGCATTTTATTTACTACTACTACTACTAATACTAATCTTTAAAATAATGATAATGATGATGGTGATGTTTATCTGCATGGGTTTTTAACGTAGTTTAGAAATGGAAAAGTATGTTCACTGTACTGCGACTGCATGATCTAATGTCTGTGAGCATATGGCCAAAAAATGGGGGGGGGGGTGAAAGGGAGTGAAGGGGCAAGAAGGGTGGGGGATGAGGAGGCGGAGTGGTCTGTAGTAGGGCATACCTCAATATGCCACACCCGGACAAGATGTGAAAATACACTAAGGCTACTTCTGCTGTTCTGATACCAGTACATGTAGTTATTTGAAAATGTGTGCTGAAAGTGAAAGTTGTGCGTGCCTGCACATAGCATTTTGCTTGTAACTTCTTGAAATAATGAAAAATGCAACATGGCAGAAATTTACTTTTTTGTCAAGCTAATCACAATGTATATATGTGTGTGTGTGTGTGTGTGTATATGTGTGTTTGTGTGTGTGCATGTGCGTGCGTACGCATGTGTGTGTGTATGTGCGTGCGCGCATGCGTGCGCGCATGCGTGCGTGCGTGCGTGTGCGTGTTCACGCGGATCAATTCAATAATTTGAAAATTGTTTCACATTGTCGGTGTATGTTGGAAGCTTGCTTATTGAATGGAACGGAGAAAGATTGATTTTTTAAGTTCCGCTTTTGCCTATATAATGTATATAAATCGTCATTGAGGCATGTTTATCCACAGTAGAATATCGCCCGTATCATAATTGTTGTGTGTGTGTGTTTTTTTTTTAAGTTCATGCCTTTGTTTTGTGTCTGTGTTATTACACTTCGATTCGTCTTTGGTACTTGTACGTAAATGAAAATGTAAAGTATCATTACTTTTCGACTTGTTGATTATACTTGCTCTTGTATGAAATAACGTAAGGTATAATTGCATTTCGAATTGTTCATTACACTTACACTTGTATGACAAAATGTAAGGTATCATTGCATTTCGAATTGTTCATTACACTTACACTTGTATGACAAAATGTAAGGTATCATTGCATTTCGACTTGTTGATTACACTTGCACTTGTATGAAAAAAATGTAAGGTATCAGTACAAATCGACTTGTTGATGGTACTTGTACTTCAGTACATTTCGACTTGTTCATGGTACTTGCACTTGTATGAATATATATGCTATTATTACATTTCAACTTGTTGTGGATATATGTACTTGTATGAAAAAGTAATCTGGCCAGGCTAGAAAGCAATACTGTAATAAATCAAAATATGCATGCAGACTGCCACGCGACACCTGACTTCACACCTCATACTCCCTGTTGGTCACGTGTTGTTCACACTTTTATCTTCTCGTTTTATTAAAATAATTTCTTGCCGCATTTTGTCCTCTACGCTTCTGCTTCTGTCGACACGCACGAGAGAGAGGGGGGGGGTGAGAGAGAGAGAGAGAGAGAGAGAGAGAGAGAGAGAGAGAGAGAGAGAGAGAGAGAGAGAGAGAGAGGGGGAGGGAGGAGAGAGAGAGAGAGAGAGAGAGAGAGAGAGAGAGAGAGAGAGAGAGAGAGAGAGAGAGAGAGAGAGAGAGAGATGGAAGTAATGTGATGCATTTTTAAAAATATCTTTCTTTACTTATAATTATGATGCACGTACTTCAAATCTTTTCTTTGGTTTCTATTTAATGCAAGCAAGATTGGCCCGTCAAAAGTTTGTAGAGTTTAACATTTGCTGTGGGAACTGAAATCTCACAACGAAAATATACTGGCCAGTGTTTGTTTGTTTTTCTTCTATTTTTTGTTGCTTATTTGTTTATTGCTGTTCTTGATAGAACATGTTTTGAGATATACCTATATTTTAAATGCTCGTATGTTTTCGGATGTGTGAAGACGCTTCGAATAATTCCAGCGACCACGTTAAGGTACGCTACAATGACATTATTAATGTTGAGGTATATTATACTCCTATACGTGCGACTGCTTTTTATTTGAAAATATAGAAGAATGTGCTGCATATCTGGCAGAGAAAGGGTTGATGTTGTGTTGGATGACTGGTTTGACTTTTAGCTGTTAATTTTTAATTCTCTTCGGAATGCTCAACAAACGATCTGTTTTTCCTTTTACTCGGTTCAGTTTGTTAAGTCAAACCGGAAACTATAACAATGCCCATCATACGACATGCTTTTAAAAATTGTTTTTGTTTTGTTTGTCTGTATTTTGGTTGTTTTGTTTGTGTATTTGTGTGTGTGTGTGTGTGTATGTGTGTGTGTTTGTGTTTGTTTGTGTGTGTGTGCGTGTGTCATCTTCATTTTCCACGGACAAGTTCCAATTATTGTTTACCCAAAGCAAACGAAAGTTTCCGACCAACGCAATAATACAATGGGTATTGTCGTGTTTTTGTCAGCACTTCTGTTGTTAAATTGTAGTGAGAAGTCAATTAATACTCTGGGCGCCTAGTAACTCACTTGCAATTAAATGTTTATCGCTAAACAAACTGCTTTAGATGTCCAGAGTGCACTGTGCTAGAGTAGTATCTTAAAAGATAGTATGTCCCGTTTTGGACAAAACTGGCTCTCCTGAACATTTCACGAAACTGGATTTACTGTTTTTCAAAATAAAACTTCAGTATGGGCTAAGCAGCAGTCGCATAGACAAAGGAAACAAGTAGTGGGCTCTTTTCTTCTGTTGTGGACAAGACTATGACTGCCCCGCCCCCTGCCCCTCCTTCTCTGAGGAGTGGAGGAACAGTGGTGCGCGTTAGGCGGTGTCTTTGTTGAGAAAGGCTGATTGGAATATGTCACAATAATTTGAATTCTTTTCAACAGAGTTTGTGCAATGATTTACACTCTAGTTTAGCATCAAAGGAGCACAATCTATTTTAATAGATTTGGCAGGAGCCACACGTTAAGTTTACGTGTTTTAGGATGATGCGTGGTTGTAAACTTCACGGCGTACATAAGATCTCGGATTCCCAAGAGTATGCGTGTGTTTTTGAGACGCACACAGAGCAGGAACACAGCCAAACAAGATATATAAGTCATTAATGCTGTTGCATTACGTTGGCCCGAAGAGATTTTCTATGTTTAAAGTGTTGCATTCAAGACGAAACCTTTTGATTCGGGCCATGATCAATACCTCTGCTTTTGGCCGTTCCTCTTTGAGAACTCCCAAGTTGCATGGCATGGTGTCTTTTAGAGTGTTAAGCGCTGGTGCTACTCCCTTATTAATGCTTTGCATTTTGCATTTTGCTTTTCATTTCCCATCCTTCCTATGATGTGTCACCTTGACTTCACGTAGTAATCATGTTATTCTGGTGTGTAGATTCACCTGTGAAATGTATTTGTCAGTATAGCGGAAGTTGTCCACAGCATTTCTTGTAACACTGGGGCTTGAGTTTTGTTGAGAGTTTCTCGTGAGAACTTTTAAAGAAACCATATTATACAGTCGAGCCTGTTCAAGACGATCAGATGTGTCGAGGAGAAAAGTCGCCATTTTAGACAGGTGGTCCTCTTGGACGGTGCGATTATAATATAGAAAAAAAAGGCACGGGAAGTGGTCGATTGTACATGTGACTGCCTTGGACAGCTGGTCGTTAGAGCAGAGTCGAATGTATCTAAATTTGAAACTCTTTTCTCTGACTGTTGAAGATTGTAACAACAATCTTTCTTTGTGCAGGAAAATCAGAGCACAAGGTCTATTATAGCCATGTTGTCAACTTGGCTTTCAAGACATAGCATAAAGCTCAGCTTGAAGTAAAAAGTGGTTTTTCCTAAGTTCTTAAGTAAATCTCTCAAAAGACTCTAAGCCTTTTCGGCGTAAAGCTGTAATCATAATAATAGTATGTATACTCCGTACAATTTCCTGCCTACTTTGACAAATGCAAGCTTTAATCCCCAACTCACCATTTTAAAAAAATTTTTGTCTGTTAGTTTTTGTTTTTGTTTTTGTTTTTGTTTTTGTTTTTGGTGGGTTTTTTGTATTTTAAATTCAGTGCTTCTCGTAAATATCTTCATGTATTGGTGTGGTGAGTCATATATAATGTTCGCTCCACCTTTGTCCGGCGGTGTATTCCTGACATTGTTTCCACGTTAGTTCAAGACAAGTAGACGCAATGTACTTGCAAGGTGGCCTAATCTCGTGCTCCAAAACTCTCTAAAGAAGGCAGTTTGCCGAACTGTCAAAAAAAGTCGCCCATTTGTCATGGGGGGGGGGGGGGGGGCTACACTGAGATTGCAATTTCTTATAATCATTTTATAAAATGATTCATGTAATCGCTGTGTTCAGTGTATTGATGGGAGCTGGTGAGGGATAAGGATGGAATAAAATCACCCCTCATGGCCAATATAGAGGAATATTGTTTTACGGTTACCTCAAAATTGAAAAAAAATCGAAAAAAAAAATCCCTTATGATTTTGTGTTTTCAAGGAATTTCTTTGTTATTTGGAAAATACATTTTCTTCTACAATACACAGCTATTGTAAGTTAGAAAAATACTTGTTTCAGTTAGGTTTTTATTATTTTTTATTATAAGTGTGTGAGTGTGAGTGGGGGGGGGGGGGGGGATAGTACAAAAAAGTCATCCAAAATATAATGAAAGTTACGCCTTTTTGGTTATTGACAAAATGTTGCAATCGAATTTTTTAAAAAGATGACACACAAAATTTAGACACTGTTGGTGAAAGAAATGTGGAACCCTTAGAGTTTTAAGTTATACAATTTTTTTTTTAAATGAGAAAATTAACAAAAAATATCAAAATAGTGGGAAGAATCAACCGTTACATAGATTAACATTCCCTTCAGTTGGCCACGGACTATGATTTCATCCCTTTGAAACCCTTCACCTTTTCTCGTGAACGTATTATTGAACTCAGTGATAACGCAAAACTTTGTATATAATTATGGAATATTCAAGAGAAAGCGCGGTCTCGGTTGTACTTCCCCTTAGTACCGAGGAATGATCTTAAACAACGCGGTTGAGATTATTTATTTCATAATAATATACTTTTGAAAAGGCAAACCGAAGTATTTGTCCTGTGGTCAGACTTTTCTACGCTAGTGCAAATCTTGGAGGCCAAGGGCTACTGGCTTACTGTCTTTGAGAAGGAACTGAAGATTTTGGCCTTTCTCTGTTCTTCCTTTCCGCATCCTCCTCCCCCCCTCTCTCTCTCTCTCTCTCTCTCTCTCTCTCTCTCTCCTGTATGTCTCTCTGTCTCTCTGTCTCTCTGGTATATTCTCTCTCATCTTTCTCCCTTTCACTCTCTCTCTTTCTCTCTCTCCCTCTCTCTCTTTCTCCCTCTCCCTATTCCATTCTTTCTCTCTCCTACTCACTCTCTTTTCCTATCTTTTTTCCTCCCTCCTACTTTCCCCCCTCATTTTTTTTCTATCTCACTTTTTGGGTGTCACATCAAAAAGAC